AGATAGATATATAGCGTTCGTATTCTGAGTAGAGAAGTCTTAAATTCTCTTGAACTTATTTACGGCTGTACATAAAGCGTCTTTAAGCGTGAGATACGATGGCTATCAACTTCTTGTAGTTTTGCTGCGAGACAATATTATGCCAATTGACTATATTAAATGTACTAAAAGACACCATGTTTGTTACTCCACTATAAAATTATGTTTAAAAGGCCACGTTTGCAAACTGAATGGTCGGCTATAATGTATAACATAACCCCGGCTATTATGTATAAAATATCCCGGCAATGATTTATAAAATATCCCGACTATGATGTATAAAATATCCCGGGTATGGTGTATAAAATATCTTGAATGATGAGAAGAGAGGTCGTGAATGACTAGCAGAGAGCAGCTATCGTACAGGATTGAATTAACCCTTTGAAAATTCTAGGAGGAAGTCCAAATATTTCTGAAAAGACATTTGAAACATTAAAACACTCAAAATAACACCATAAGGTTCTCTGAATGGTTTCAACTTGTTAGGAGATCAAGAAATGGAAGCAGACACTCATTAGACTTCAACTGCAAACGAGATGCAAATAATGAACCCCAACATGAGAATACTCATCCATATCCTCAAGGAGAGAAAAAAAGCGTTAAATGAAGTCGGAAGCAGCCGAAGGTTAACCCCGTGAAACACATCAAATCACTTCGCCCCGGTAATGAAACGAATCAATAGTTGCATGGTGAAGCCGCGGACAGGGTTAAAAACAACAACAAAGCAACATTATTTTAAAAATAAAATTAATGAATGAATTTTCGCAACCATAAAAAAAATGAATGTTTACATTTTACATAAATCCTGTATTTCTTCTCATGTGTATTTGATTGATGTCTCTCTGACGCAGTGGCCTAGGAAGGGGCTGTCCATCTCCGGGGGGGGGGGGGGGACATTTATTGAATTTATGCTGCGTGGTGGCATTAATAGTCGACGGCGGTGATTTTCTTTTTGTTGGATAGGGAGCGATAAAAAGCTTTGCCCCCCCCCCACCCCAGGCGGCACTAACCCCAGCTACGCCACTGCTCTGATGGTGCGTGTCTCTTGTGTCTTTGACGTCCAGACTGCACTCTTTACCTTACCTCTGATGGTAACTCCTTCCTAAAAGAAATTTAAGGAAGAAAACTCCTGCTAAGAAAGGGACCCTGCATTGTGACTATTCTTAAAATGACCACTGCACCGATAATGATTAAATTAGAACGACTTCTGCAACATGATTATACTAGAAATTAATCTGTCTATTTGATTTACATTAACATTTTCAGGCAAAAAGTGTTAATTACTGTTTTTAATTAAAATTGTTTATATTTGTTAGAGAAACAGATTTATCCCCAAAGTTATCGCTCGTAAAATAAAATAAAACACAATAAGCATATTTGACATCGATCTTAATTAAAAACTGCGTTTAGCCATTTGACATTCTGAAACAAAAACTTTAATCAAAACCCATACCGGAAGTTCCATACCATCCCCTCAAGCCACACGTCAGTTCAAATGTCAGCAGATCGATAGTGGAAGAACAATGTTTTTATTTCATTAATATTGTGTCTGATGTTCTCAGGACATTGTGCCTGACCATGTTTAGACATGAGAACTGGATGATGGTCTAAATAATGATTGTTGACCAAGTAGATGATGGACTAGTTGATGGAGAAGTCTCTGTTTAGACATGATAACTGGATGATGGTCTAAATGATGATTGTTGACCAAGTAGATGATGGACTAGTTGATGGAGACGTCTCTGTTTAGACATGAGAACTGTATGATGGTCTAGATGATGATTGTTGACCAAGTAGATGATGGACTAGTTGATGGACAAGTCTCTGTTTAGACATGAGAACTGGATGATGGTCTAAATGATGATTGTTGACCAAGTAGATGATGGACTAGTTGATGGAGACGTCTCTGTTTAGTCATGAGAACTGGATGATGGTCTAAATGATGATTGTTGACCAAGTAGATGATGGACTAGTTGATGGAGAAGTCTCTGTTTAGACATAAGAACTGTATGATGGCCAAAATGATGATTGATGACCAACTGAATGATGACCAAGTGGTTGATGGCGAAGGGGGTGATGGCCGAATGAATGATGGCCAAGTCAGTGATGACCAATCGGACGAAAGTTACTGGTGACCAAATGGATGATGTGTTGGTGTTTACTTATTTTTCTTGGTAAAGGATAATTTTTATATTTAGTTATGTAACTGCATACTGGATGGCTAGATGGCTGGATGGCTGTGGGATCTAAAATGAGTCATTCAAAGTTTCCCTCTGCAGCAAAAGCCTAGACAGGCAAAAGAAACAGCAGCACCCCGGGTGGATGGAACTCGTTAACCTTGGATGGCAACTCATCTAAGAGAAGACAAACTCTGCAATCTAACCGGAGATGGAGTCCCTAAGGCGGTATGGCATTGACACAATGAAAAATTCCGACAAATCTTGCGACGCTACTGGTGTCCCGCTGTATCATCACATGATGTTTACCTGGTTTATCCAGGTGTGGAGACAGCTGATTTGATGTCGAAGGCACTAGCTTACTGTAAAATTTTGTCCTGCAAAGTCTACATACAATAGTTTAAGCTTCTGGGTAATTTATTTTGCGCGCCTATTGAACACAGCCTTAGGTTAATACATACATACCTAAAGAATAATTATTATTTGTGATTTGTTCCCATAATTAAGAATCAGAAGCTTGTTTAAAATCTCTAAAGTAAAAATAACGTATTGAAGTGGACAGTTTGTTTAAATGCGTATTTATTTTTTTTTCAACAAAGATAAGCAGCCTGGGAAATTATTAAAAATAAATGATAGATACAGTCGCCGAGAGTTATCTCACCACGTCAACAAACATAGAAGTATGAAGGGATACATTTCTCATCTTATCTGTAACATAGAGATGCGCAGTCAAGGAGTGAGTATACAGAAAGACTAAACAACTAAATGTTTGCAAATTTTTATAGTATTATAGTGAAAAGGACATAAGAGGTACTCTAGATTTGAATTAAGAGTATAGTGTGGTTCAAGACTGTGAAGATTGCATCAAGTGATTATGTTTCAAAAAATAAACTCTTTTACATTAAACTGGAAGTTAAGAATTACATTTTTGAGGGCAGTGGGGAGGCGCAGAATTGGGACAGGCAATATGTATTATATCATCGATGTATGATATATTTTTGTTTTTAATTACCAGTATGATAGCAGCGGTAGGATAGATACATGCCTACAGGAAAAATTGTCTAGTAGATACAAGCCTGCAAATAAAAGTGTCAAGTAGATACAGACCTACAGGTAAAAGTGTCAAGTAGATACAGACCTACAGGTAAAAGTGTCAAGTAGATACATGCCTACAGATGAAAGTTTCAAATAGATACTTGACTACAGGTAAAAGTGTCAAATAGATACATGCCTCAGGTAAAAATGCCAAGTAGATACATGGCTACAGATACAAGTGTCAAATAGATACTTGCCTACAGGTAAAAGTGGCAAGTAGATACATGCCTACACATAAAAGTGTCAAATAGATACTTGCCTACAAGTAAAAGTGTCAAGTAGATACATGGCTACAGATAAAAGTGTCAAATAGATACTTGCCTACCGATACAAGTTTCAACTGATTTTAACCGGGTGATGACGCAGCAATATTTCCGGTACGTTAATTTTAGCAAAATACAAACAAATTTATTTTCTTTAAAATGTCAATGGTAGCATTTATTTAATCAGTGTTTTTTTAATGAGTACTTGAAGGAACGGCTGACTCATGTCACGTGGGTGTCTGAAAATAGAAATACTTCCTTGTTTGCAGGAAAAATTAAAATTATTGTTTAAAAAACAACTACCCATTCCCCACAAACATATATTCACTCTTTAAACAAAGGGCAAAAAAGCCTGGAGCCAGCGTCATCAGTAGAGATTAAATTTGTCTTTAATCTCAGGAACGTCATGTCTGGTTTATCGAATATCGTGTCTCTCGATTAATTGTAACTAAGAAATTGTCTTTACAGCTACTACCAGGTCTAATCCTACTTCTGATTTTAAAGATATTGATTAAAATGAATGGTGGTTTCTTTTGTTTTTTTGTTTTTGCGACGCTTAAAATTTGAAGATTCATTTAAAAAAAAAAAAATGAGTTCTAAAACAAATTGCATAAATGTTAACTTTTGGCAATGTAATTATTTATTTTAAAATGTTTGAGTTCTCTTTAGCCCTAGCGATCATTCATCCCATCATATTTTAATAATAGATTTGATCATGCCTACACATAATTTATTCAGTGCCTTTAGAGTATACTCTAAAATTATTGTGGAGGCAACATGCTTCATGAATAAGTGCTAAAAATTATTAAATAAAAAAAACAAAAAACAAAAAACAAACTGTTTCTATGATTGCATTTTTAAGAAAAGATTGAGTCAACATTTTATTTATTGATAATTCTCCTCTACAGTTTTTAAATATCTTTGTGAAAGCTTATGACAGACAAAGAGGGAAAAAAAAAATCTGAGGTTCTGTGAAAGCCTCGTCACAAAGCCCCTCAGTGACTATTGAGAATATGTAATACAAATACAGTTACAGATCTCAATAATAAATATATCACACAAGTTTATAGTGTTGTAATCTATGAGCAGCAAATATATAAAGTCTGATCAGCTGACATTAGCCTACTTGGATGTTTATACATAGATATTTTTTTTTTTTTGCGCACTTAGCATTTATAAAACTTATCTACAGAGGCTCTTCAGACAGCAAAGGATTTCAAGTCCAGTGACATCTTTGTTCTTGTCAACCTTCACCGCGTAAACAAAAAGAAAGCACCGGAAAATCTACCGAGACAACAACATAAGATCTGGACACATCGCTGAGGCCATTCTTCACCTTATGTAGCCTAGTTATATCATTTGCCTCCGTTTGTTGTAACAATAACAGTAACATCATAATATACCACTGTATGTAGTAACATCATACTCTGGATACACCTTCTTTTGGGGTGGCTGGGGTAGTGAAGAACGTCGTCAGGCTGGTGTTGGTTTTGCTGTCAAATCTTCACTGAATGGCATGATGGCTGGATGGCTTCACTACCAAGGAGAGTCAGCGATGAGATCATGGGAAAGAAGGAGAGATAAATCAGTAAAAAAAACAAACAACAGCCTCACCATCATCAGCTACAGTGCCCCCCCCCCAACAATGACCAACACAGATGAAGTAAAGACCAAGTTCTCTGACGACCATCACACTTTCATTGGACAAGCTTGGTGACTTTAATGCTCAAGTGGGCCGTGAGGACATCACTCCGGATGGGGTACTGGAAAAGCATGGCGTGGGCCCATGCAACAGTAACGGTCTACTTTTCCTCCAGACTTGCACTGACCACAGCTGCTAATTATTAATACAGTCTTTTCCCACGCGGAGACATCTTGGATGCACCCTCGTTATCAGACATCCTGGGGTGCTTGTAACCAAGTCTGTATAAGTGCTTGTAACCAAGTCTGTATTAGGTGCTTGTAACCAAGTCTGTATTAGGTGATTGTAACCAAGTCTGTGTGGGGTGCTTGTAACCAAGTCTGTGTGGGGTGCTTGTGAACAAGTCTGTATTAGGTGCTTGTAACCAAGTCTGTATGGGGGTGCTTGTAACCAAGTCTGTGTGGGGTGCTTGTGACCAAGTCTGTATTAGGTGCTTGTAACCAAGTCTGTATGGGGTGCTTGTAACCAAGTCTGTGTGGGGTGCTTGTGAACAAGTCTGTATTAGGTTCTTGTAACCAAGTCTGTATGGGGTGCTTGTAACCAAGTCTGTGTGTGGTGCTTGTAACCAAGTCTGTATTAGGTGCTTGTAACCAAGTCTGTATGGGGTGCTTGTAACCAAGTCTGTGTGGGGTGCTTGTGACCAAGTCTGTATTAGGTGCTTGTAACCAAGTCTGTATGGGGTGCTTGTGACCAAGTCTGTATGGGGTGCTTGTGACCAAGTCTGTATGGGGTGCTTGTGACCAAGTCTGTATGGGGTGCTTGTGACCAAGTCTGTATTGGGTGCTTGTAACCAAGTCTGTATGGGGTGCTTGTGACCAAGTCTGTATTAGGTGCTTGTAACCAAGTCTGTATGGGGTGCTTGTGACCAAGTCTGTATGAGGTGCTTGTAACCAAGTCTGTATGGGGTGCTTGTAACCAAGTCTGTATGAGGTGCTTGTAACCAAGTCTGTATGAGGTGCTTGTAACCCATTGGGGTGCTTGTAACCAAGTCTGTATGGGGTGCTTGTGACCAAGTCTGTATTAGGTGCTTGTAACCAAGTCTGTATGGGGTGCTTGTAACCAAGTCTGTATGGGGTGCTTGTGACCAAGTCTGTATTGGGTGCTTGTAACCAAGTCTGTATGGGGTGCTTGTAACCAAGTCTGTATGGGGTGCTTGTGACCAAGTCTGTATTAAGTGCTTGTAACCAAGTCTGTATGGGGTGCTTGTAACCAAGTCTGTGTGGGGTGCTTGTGACCAAGTCTGTATGGGGTGCTTGTAACCAAGTCTGTGTGGGGTGCTTGTGACCAAGTCTGTGTGGGGTGCTTGTGACCAAGTCTGTATTAGGTGCTTGTAACCAAGTCTGTATGGGGTGCTTGTAACCAAGTCTGTATGGGGTGCTTGTAACCAAGTCTGTATTAGGTGCTTGTAACCAAGTCTGTATGGGGTGCAGACGGATGGACAGATCATTGTCTTATCACCAACATTGCTGACAGATCTTATCAACAACAAGCTCAGCATTCGCTTACAATCAAAAAGACTTTGAGGAGCCAGAATATCAACAAACATGAGTGGTAGCATTATACTCTACTCTAGAAGAGCGTCTGAAATCCAAATCTTTTGATCATCACAACGTCGTAGTGGATTGGGCATCACTCTAAGCCCCCCCCCCCACTTTTTTTTCCCCACACATCCTTAAATATAGATGGACAGCCCGCAGTCACCGTCTTACTAAAGATGACCAGTCCCCCCTCCCCCCTCCCCCCACACACACTTAACTAGAGATGTACAGCCTCCCCCACACACACTTAACTATAGATGTACAGCCCCCCCCCACACACACTTAACTATAGATTTACAGCCCCCCCCACACACACTTAACTATAGATCGACAGCCCACAGGCACCGTCTTACTATAGATGGCCAGCACACACAAAAACTTAACTATAGATGGACAACCCCCCACACACACTTAACTAAAGATGGACAGCACACACAAACATCCTTAACTATAGATGGACAGCACACACACGTACTTAACTGTATATGGACAGCTTACACACACGTATCTATAGATGGGCAGCCCACACACACACATTTAAATATAGATGGACAGCCCCCTTCACACACTTAACTAAAGATGGACAGTCCGCCCCCCCACGCACACATTTAACAACAGATGGTCATCCCCCACACACACACTTAACTATAGATGGGCTGCCCCCTTCACACACACTTAACTATAGATGGACAGCCCCTACACACACTTAATTATAGATCGACAGCCCCCCCCCCCCAACAAACACTTAACTATAGATGGACAGCCCTCCCCCATACACAAAATTATTAACTATAGATGGACAGCCCCTACACACACTTAACTATAGATCGACAGCCCCCCTCCCCCAACAAACACTTAACTATAGATGGACAGCCCTCCCCCATACACACAATTATTAACTATAGATGGACAGCCCCCACACACAAATCAATTGTAATTTTTACTGTTTAAGAAACGTTGAAAAATAAAAGCAATAAATTATATTTTATAAGTTTTCTTGTAAGAATATTTGGAGTAATTTTTCTTTTAATCTCATCCATTTACTGATAATGAATCCAGACCTTGCGGTCCACATTTTGACAATAGCAGTGACGAAAAAGAACGAAGCCGAGGAACGATAAGATTGACCGAACTTTGCCCAACTCTTTCTCGTTTAGGCTGAGTCACAGTGAACACGGCCATCCTCGACTTGGGGGCCAATGACTTTCCTTCAGCGTGAACTCCTGTGACAAAGTATGCCTTTCAGTGCGCCTAGTTTATGCTGCATTCGCTTTTCACTAACACAGTGCTTCTCAACCTTCCTAATGCCGTACCAACGAAGTCGCGACCCACAGGTTGAGAACAACTGCTCTAAACAGAATGACCAAAGGCTTATGCTACGAGCCCGATTTTACCAAGATTACTAGCTTCATTGTCTGGGAGGGGATGGGGGGGGGTGTTACAGTTACCCAACAAACCATTGATTCATTACAAGAAAGAAACGTCTCTTTATTAAATGTAATACAACTCATAAAAATCTAACATTACAGCACTGCTGTCGTTGCACACCACAACCAACTACGCAATAATACGTCATTTTCCCCTTGCCCATAATACGTCACCCAAATCCCAGTATCTAGCAACAGCTACTCAAATACTCTCCGAACCAAAACGCAATCGCAATTTACCTATTCTGAATGCACGTTGTGAAATACAAAATACCAATAAAAAATAGAGAATAAAGAAATGAAACTAAACTAATTGTATCGTTTCTTGTCTTCTAATGGTATCGTTGCTTGTCTTCTAATGGTATCGTTGCTTGTCTTCTAATGGTATCGTTTCTTGTCTTCTAATGGTATCGTTGCTTGTCTTCTAAAGGCATCGTTGCTTGTCTTCTAATGGTATCGTTGCTTGTCTTCTAATGGTATCGTTTCTTGTCTTCTAATGGTATCGTTTCTTGTCTTCTAATGGTATCGTTGCTTGTCTTCTAATGGTATCGTTTCTTGTCTTCTAATGGTATCGTTGCTTGTCTTCTAAAGGCATCGTTGCTTGTCTTCTTTGGCGCTTTACTTTTAAAAAAATCGATTTTCATATAAATTGTTTGAAGAAAGAAGAAGTTGTTGTAATATATCCGGCATCTGGCAGGCGTGTATCAGACGATCACACATTGCGACACTCGTTACCTAATAGTCTTAGTCTTTGGTTTTAATCAAACATTACCCAATAGTCTTAGCCCAGGCCTGCACAGCTCATAATGTTGGGCGGACGTAATGCATAGTGAAAAGCTTGTGCGGGCCGAAAGAAAATGGGACAGGGGGGAAAGCCATAAAGAAAATAATAAGAAAAAAAGAATATTTCGTTACTTCGCGGGCCGCAAAGTGGGTGCTGGTGGGCCGCAAAGTGGGTGCTGGTGGGCCGCTTGCGGGTCGTGGGTCGTATGTTGTGCAGGCCTGTCTTAGACTATAAAATCAAACATTACAAAACAGTGTAAGACCATAAAATTCAGACATTGCACTTTCTAGCAGCTAAGTGCGAGCAGTAAGGATAGTCTTAGACTCTTTGTACATTTCTTGGAAACCTTACAAGATTAAATAACTTAAAATGGAGTGGTCTCTGCATTGTGATCTATGTAGGGTTTCCGAAACTTCATATAGTATATATTGCGCACACACTTACACCAAAAACACAGACACAGAGACACACACACGCATATCAAGTTGAGTGTTAAATTTAAACAACAAGAGTTCCGGCTAGGGCGCGCTCACCCCTTCTGGGGCGAAAAGCCCACCCCCCCCCAACAGATAGGTTGGCCGCTGGTGAAGGGCATACAATACAATTAAAATGTATCCATCAAACGTTATTTTGCAGTGCTGCAGTGAAAGGAAACTACAGTGGGAGAAGAGAGTATTTTGGTCTCCATGGATCTGAGCCAGTAAAGTACAGTGGGAGAAGAGAGTATTTTGGTCTCCATGGATCTGAGCCAGTAAAGTACAGTGGGAGAAGAGAGTATTTTGGTCTCCATGTATCTGAGCCAGTAAAGTACAGTGGGAGAAGAGAGTATTTTGGTCTCCATGTATCTGAGCCAGTAAAGTACAGTGGGAGAAGAGAGTATTTTGGTCTCCATGGATCTGAGCCAGTAAAGTACAGTGGGAGAAGAGAGTGTTTTGGTCTCCATGTATCTGAGCCAGTAAAGTACAGTGGGAGAAGAGAGTATTTTGGTCTCCATGTATCTGAGCCAGTAAAGTACAGTGGGAGAAGAGAGTGTTTTGGTCTCCATGTATCTGAGCCAGTAAAGTACAGTGGGAGAAGAGAGTATTTTGGTCTCCATGGATCTGAGCCAGTAAAGTACAGTGGGAGAAGAGAGTATTTTGGTCTCCATGGATCTGAGCCAGTAAAGTACAGTGGGAGAAGAGAGTATTTTGGTCTCCATGTATCTGAGCCAGTAAAGTACAGTGGGAGAAGAGAGTATTTTGGTCTCCATGTATCTGAGCCAGTAAAGTACAGTGGGAGAAGAGAGTATTTTGGTCTCCATGTATCTGAGCCAGTAAAGTACAGTGGGAGAAGAGAGTATTTTGGTCTCCATGTATCTGAGCCAGTAAAGTACAGTGGGAGAAGAGAGTATTTTGGTCTCCATGTATCTGAGCCAGTAAAGTACAGTGGGAGAAGAGAGTATTTTGGTCTCCATGTATCTGAGCCAGTAAAGTACAGTGGGAGAAGAGAGTATTTTGGTCTCCATGTATCTGAGCCAGTAAAGTACAGTGGGAGAAGAGAGTATTTTGGTCTCCATGTATCTGAGCCAGTAAAGTACAGTGGGAGAAGAGAGTATTTTGGTCTCCATGTATCTGAGCCAGTAAAGTACAGTGGGAGAAGAGAGTATTTTGGTCTCCATGTATCTGAGCCAGTAAAGTACAGTGGGAGAAGAGAGTATTTTGGTCTCCATGTATCTGAGCCAGTAAAGTACAGTGGGAGAAGAGAGTATTTTGGTCTCCATGTATCTGAGCCAGTAAAGTACAGTGGGAGAAGAGAGTATTTTGGTCTCCATGTATCTGAGCCAGTAAAGTACAGTGGGAGAAGAGAGTATTTTGGTCTCCATGTATCTGAGCCAGTAAAGTACAGTGGGAGAAGAGAGTATTTTGGTCTCCATGTATCTGAGCCAGTAAAGTACAGTGGGAGAAGAGAGTATTTTGGTCTCCATGTATCTGAGCCAGTAAAGTACAGTGGGAGAAGAGAGTATTTTGGTCTCCATGTATCTGAGCCAGTAAAGTACAGTGGGAGAAGAGAGTATTTTGGTCTCCATGTATCTGAGCCAGTAAAGTACAGTGGGAGAAGAGAGTATTTTGGTCTCCATGTATCTGAGCCAGTAAAGTACAGTGGGAGAAGAGAGTATTTTGGTCTCCATGTATCTGAGCCAGTAAAGTACAGTGGGAGAAGAGAGTATTTTGGTCTCCATGGATCTGAGCCAGTAAAGTACAGTGGGAGAAGAGAGTGTTTTGGTCTCCATGTATCTGAGCCAGTAAAGTACAGTGGGAGAAGAGAGTATTTTGGTCTCCATGTATCTGAGCCAGTAAAGTACAGTGGGAGAAGAGAGTGTTTTGGTCTCCATGGATCTGAGCCAGTAAATGATTTGATAAGTAGTGCCGACTGTTTAAAAACTCCTTTATCTTTGCAATTTTTTTTTTCTTTTTTCCCCCGCTTGTCCAAGACAAAGTGGCTGGCGAGATCCAAACATTTCTTTATCTTGTAGCCGACCAAAAAATAATATTGGTCACAAAGATCTTCAAGATAATCGATGTAATATTAAGTACAAAGGAACATCTCAGATTTATTAACTGTTCAACACGGCGAAAGGTAAGTAAATACGTAATGACATTACATTAGACACTGTCGATTGATGGCAGTGTTGTAACCTTAAATGTCGGTAGATGATTACATTGCTTTATATATATATATATATATGAAATGGCGGTAGATGATTTATTCAGTGTTAATTTTTTAGGGTTTCCAATTTTGAAATCCTTTACAAATCTCTTTATATGTTATATGTACCAGATTTGTCTCAATGTTTCCTCTCAGCTTGATATTTCAAATCTTTCTCATTTATTTCACAGATAATCTTTTAGAATCAGGCAAAAAATGCTTCTACAAAAGACAATAGCTTTATTGACATTTGCTGTTTTCTCCCATCTGGTCAAGGGGGACAATGCTAACGTGCTAGAAGTCGTCCACGAATGGATTAAGATAGAATATGACTGGCCGTCAGACCAGGTCAAGGACAACTACACAAGGCGAGGCTTGTACGCGCCAGAAAAAAGCCACCTGTCTGGTATTGACATCTACAACGGTGACATCTACGTCACAGCTCTCCGAATGACGCCGGAAGTTCCGTCAGGTCTGAACAAAATCGTCGTGAAAAATGGCCGCCCCTTGCTGCAGCCCTTCCCGAGTCTCGAGGCCAACGAGCTCGGCAACTGCGCCAGCATTCAGTCCCCTTTCTCCACCATGACGGACCCCAACACCGGCCTCATGTACGTGGTGGACGTCGGTCGGACGTGGAGAGGCCCTCCCAACTCTTTCGCGCCGTGCCCGCCGAAGCTGATGGTGTACGATCTGAAAAACAACGCGACCCTGATACGAAGTCATCCCCTCCCGGAGAGTCTCGCCCCGAAAAGCACCAGCATTCTGAACGACCTCGTCCTGGACTACGTCACGAGGCAGGGTCAAGAGGTCAAGTACGTTTACATAACAGACATCGGCGGCGCCAAAATCATCGCGTTCGACCTCCAGACCAACAGATCATGGGCGTTTCAACACCCGTCCATGCAGACCGACGAAGACCAGGTCATCGACTTCAACGGCGTCAACAACACGGAGTTGGGCTACCCGGTGGATGGCATCGCCATGGATTCGGACTTTCAGTACGTCTATTACTGTGCCATAGGCAGCCGAAAGTTGTACCAGATTCCCACGTCCGTCCTGAGAGATCCCAGCGGGGATTTCGCGGGAAACGTGCGGCTCCTGGGGAAGAAGGTCTCGAACTCGGATGGCCTGGCATCAGGACAGGACAACATCTACTACGGAGCACTGACGCTGAATGCTGCATACAGGTCAGTTGACGTCTGACAGTGACGCCGTGGTTAATTTTAAAGTAATTTTTTACAGTCGTTTTCAAAGTTTTTAAAAATCTTACGAAACAATATAACTTTTTTTTTTTTAAGCTACGCGACACAAGGTCCAAATTCTTTTTGAGACCATGCCATTTTGATGAGAGATTACATCCAAGTAATCTATGTTCAACTGATTTTTAGCTAAGAGTACAAAAAAATACGTGTGATGACTTTGATAATTTGTATCAATAAGTCAATCTCAATATCTACAAATAGACTTGTGTATCTTGGCAGGGAATCATCGCGTCGCCACAAATAGGTTTAAAACGTTGCCCTTTGTTTACATTTGAATACACCAATTATTTTGTTACAAATACAGCTCAGCTTTGTGTGTATAAAAAAAAAAACAACTTAACTATTCCATGGTTAAAAGAAAGCGTACATCATTATGATACAGAGACAGAGAATCATTTAATTGTGCTCATTCTTATTGTTCGCATACTTATTGTTCTTAATCGTATTCCTCTCATTCTTATTTTTCTTAATCTTATTGTTCTCACAGTTATGATTCACGTTCTTATTGTTCTCAATCTTATTGTTCCAAGGTGGGAGAAGGAGAAGGACATCGCTGACCAGGGAGTACCTGAAGGTAGAGTGACGCTAGCCACACAGTCAGCGGTCGCTAAGGATGACGTCAGACTCGTGTTTGTGGACAGTCTGAAGGTGGACACCGCCGGCTACCTGTGGTTCACGTCAAGCAGGGCTCAGAAATTCTTCGACGGAACGATGGACTTCACGGGGGCAAGCGGAAGCAACTACAGGATAAATCGGGTTTTTGTTGGTGACAAGAGTTACCTGTCCATGGGCACTTCTGTCGTGGTTGGTTAAAAAAAATAATTTGCTTTTACAAATAATAGAAAATAAAAAATAAAAAATCATGTTTCAGTAAAAAAATATGTATATACTTCATCAATAAACCAAATGATCACATCAGTAAATAGTATTTCTCTTCTGTCTTTATTCTTAGAAAACTAGAATATATGACCCGATATTATCGGGATGGTTGGTCCCTTGCAATAATTTCTACCTGCTATTGCAAAAAACTCATCACAATTCCTAACCTTAATAAGAAGTATATATGTAATGATATTTACGTTTCTAACATTATTAAATTTTGAGAAGTATGTATCTGCTATATAATGTACGCCTACCCTGCCCCCTTTCACGCCCCTAAAGTACATTTTATTTCTCTAAACATGACCTTTTGCTAACCAAATCTAACTTATCACTAATTATATCATTATTGTCACTAAAGAAGTTAACTGAGGGACGATTTCTACGCTAGAGAAATACTTAATACTTAACACGGTCAGATCGCGTGAGTTTTTCTGTGTCAGCCTTTATGATGTTAATTTGACCAATCGTGGTTGAGTTTCTTTTCCCCGTGTGCCCAACGAGTTTTTATTTTTCTCGGTCAGGTATGACCGGTGTGCTGTGTCGGGAGGAACCACGTGAGGATAAGAGTGTGTAAAATGGGATGATGAGTTTCAGAGAGCGGGACAGTGGCGAACGCGATGGATTGGATGTGAGGACGTTAGTTTTGTTGAGGGAGATTTTTCTATGGATGGCAGAGGACTTCTGTAATTATATTTTTTATATTATGTGCAGCATTTTTCTGGACACAAATTTTGTATTCTGAAAACCAGCGGATGTTTACTATGCATTTTTCCACTGTCAGGAAGATGGAGGCAATAAATCCTATGAACCCTGAAGCCTTGCATCGTTAGTTTTAATAAATACTTGGACTATTCAGCACAGCAGCTCTGTAGGGGCTAGACAACAGGGGTTCTAGACCCTTGAAAATTGTTCTGTGGCTAGTACGCAGGGGACCAACCCCTAGAAAAAGTACGTCACGCCACAAAGATGTCTTGTGGTTTTAAATTGTTAAATGTTGGGCTTACCTTAGCCTTTTTGTGCCGTTAAACTATAATTCTATTTTCTCTAAAAATTGTGAAGTCATAATATTAAATTCACAACAAAAACTATATTTATGATATAAATGTATTTTATTTTAACGGAATTGGATATATTGAAATCTTCGTTAAAAATTTAAACAAAAAATTGCCTTGTTTTTTCTAATATTATACATTATCGGAATATCGTAAAACAAAGAATTATTTTATCTAAATAAGAATCTCGTAACTGGTTTTCACGTCTATAACAGACTCGAATGTCTTTAAAAAGTTATTGTTTCGTAAAAATACACACCCACTTTAATTTTCGAATAGAAAAAACAAAATATATGTTCATTTTTTAAAAAAGAAAATATTAACCCATCTCTATTTTTCAAAATTAAATTTTCAAGCGTGTTAAAAGATTGGGTTTTGATATTCGGAGTGGCTATAGGTACCCTGGTACCTATAGTAGCAATTGGCTATTCGGACCCGGCTGGTCACGTGACGGTTATGACGGGTACTTCCTGTTGGTTGCCATCTTTACAGCCATTATTATCAATGTATCATATTTTGAAGAGTTTCATATAGCGTTAAAAAAACACGAAGAACATTGTCATTGTGACGTACAGCTAAAAGCTAGTAAGAATACGTTTATGTTTATAATTTTATTGTATTTTTAAATTCTATTTTAAATATAGTTCTATAATCATTAACATGACATCAATCAAGATTCAAGATCAAAGTTGCTTTTTTACTTTTTTTTTTTGGGCGGCAAATGGGCTACTGATACTGTCTTAACTGTAATTGTAATGAAAAGTTTGGCTGCGGCTATTCTGACCCGGTATCAAAAGTGGATAGATCTAATTCAATTTTAATTCACCGCAAAAAAATTTATTATTCACACTTCCCATAAAACAAACGTTCTTTTGAATATAAAACCATTCAGAGAGATCAGCCCGCGGCCGCCATCTTGGTTATCGTGACCCACGAACTTATGTCCTAAATGTATCCCTAAACTAACCTGAACCCTAAATGTATCCAATAAACCTAACACGAACCCTAAAATGTATCCCTAAACCTGATCAATCTGAATTAGCCTAAAAAACTTTTAACTCTCAAAAGTCAAAAGACTAGATTTTTTTAAAATGACCTTGAATATATCTTATTCTTCAAAGTGTCTCATGACTAATTTTGTAGCTACCTCCAAGTATTATATATCATTTTAAAGGTAATTGGATGCTTTTTAATTGATACTTGGTGTTTGTTCAAAATATCCTTGCTAAATTTGATGTTTTATTATTTTTGGGCAAAAAAAAAATTTTTTTAAGTCGACAAAAACATAACATCACAGTTTTACTTTACAAAGAAGGGGAAAAAAAAGTGTTTCCAATTAATTCAAGAAAATTGATATTTTATTAGAATGTTTTCAATACTATAAAACATATTCAAATTTCAAAAGAATAGACTCATAAATAAATAAAAAAGTTATGACTATTTGTAGGCAACAGATCATTTAAGGAAATATTGCTCAAAAAGTCAAAATTATTTTCAAAAATAATAATTTTTTTTTTCAAAGGAAAACATATTACTGCATCATATTATCCTTTAGAGGATTATTAGTAAGTATTATTTTAGAAGAAAAGTTAAGTAAAAAGGCATATTTTAATAAATAATTTTTTTTATGCATCCCCGAGATACCGATCAAAGGATATAATCCTTCGCCAAGACCATGCATAAAAATTGTTGAAAACAATTTCTTTATTTATTAAAAAATACAAATGTATCAAAAAGAAAGCCTGTGACATGTGTTCTGACCATTTTACCCTGTTTTGGTAACCCACGATTACATTTTTTGTTATTGTCATGTTGCGGCGCACGACGTAAAGATTTCAGGCTTTACAGTATCAGGTTCATCATCAAATATGTCAATTGTTCCCAAAATTGTTCATTAACTAGCTACATTTTCTTGATGCTGATACAGTTGATTGTATTTTGCATTGAGATACAGAAGTGTCTCTCAATTTTGCACAGCATGTTTCCTTTATTTTCAGTATCAGAAACTTTTAAGAAACTCAATATAGCCTTGAATATGTCCTTAGTACTAATGGCCTTGCTCATTGTCCATCATAAAAGGATTTCCTGGACATTTCCTGTAAAATTAAGAGCTTGATAAGTCCTGCATTCATAATAAATCCAATTTAAGCAACTTAGTAGATAAAACTCCCCTTCAATGATGTTATAATTGTACCAATTTTTGAAAACACAAATTTCTGCGGTTCATTGTCCTGCGCACAAGGCTTACTAATAAGCAAACAAATCTGTAGTAAAGTAGAGATTGAAAATATCAATTTGCTTTTAAAATCTCCTTATATCCTCTCTTGTTATAACATCAGGAAACAATAGTGCTTTTTACCTCTGGTCTAAATGCAGCAAAGAGTCCCACAGTCTTTTGTCATCATAACCCATTGTATTGACTATGTTTGACATCTGCCCTTCATAGCATAAATGCTGTCAAAATATTAAAAAAAAATTAGTTTAGCTAAAATAAAAAAATTACAATATAAATAAAAAGAATTCAAAATACTAAACAATCTGCCTAAATTACTTTTACTTCAACTTTTCATTGAAAAGGGAACACAGCTGATTGTTACAGTGTAATAATAGCCTTGGCCTTGAGAACCATTGTTTAAATTTTGCTAACTGAAACGTAATAATATTAAAATAATTGTTTAACTACAAATTAGTTTCAAACAAATAATTTAATCTATTTTAGAATTTTATACTACTGGAGCTTGAATAAAACTAATGTTAGGGCTAATAATAGTGCTTAGAAGTATCACAGTATGCGTGAGTTGAGTATGAATGAAAAAAGTAAACAAACCTTGGATGCTATTATTATGATGATAATTTACAGAATTCTCGGTATCAGACACATCTGAAGTGCTATCTTCATCAAAAATATTCCTCTAAGTAAGAATAGTTGTCCATTTCAAGCTTATAATCAGAATCAGATTCCATAGCAATGTTTTAGAGTGTAGTAACAGTGAACCGGAATTGTGGCAAAATATGAGTAAATGGCGAAAAGGAAAATTTATGAATGGACAAGTTGCTACCAGATTTCTTCAAGAACTAGTAAAATAAACGATTTTTCTTTCTTGCCAAATAGAAATTTAACATTCCAAAATAGTAAATCTTTATTTTCGCCTTTTAATATTATTTTTATATATATTTTAAGGGTCGTTTTTTTCACCCGCCATATGTGACCGATTTTTCAATCTCCCGTCTTTTGAGAGTTAATTCAAAAATTATTATACATTATTTCACATTTCCATTAAAACACTTCACACTTCCAATAAAACAAATGTTATTTTGAATAAAAACATACTTACTTCTTTAAAGGTCCTCCGCTACTGTAGTGGCCAAAATTGAATGGCGTTGAAGACATAAAAACCAATTACTTTAACACGTTGATGCCACATGTCCACATGAATACACATATACAAATCGAGCATATGCCTGTGTGTGCCATTGTGGCGCTTGTTTCTCTCTTTTGCAGATTTCCACAAACATTCGAGGCTTTGGGTATTGGCTATTGGCACCTGAGTTTGGATCCAAAAACTTAACAGAATGAATGACCGTTTGGTGAGTCAATCCCGGAGTGGTGCCAATTGCATTAAATGCTCTCCATTGATCTGACTTGACTGTTGTGCCCAGCAGGATGTGTGCTGTGATTATCGGCATAAGTGTAATGTGTAGCAGCTGATCCATCCTGTACACAAAACATGAATCACTTATCTCCTGACAATGCCTTCAAAGACCCATTGTTGTGGCAAAACTCGCCCGACATGATTTCTTCTGCATGTAAACAGACTCGTCGATTTCAACTGAGAATAAACATGACTTACCAGTGTAAATTATGCAAATTTTTTGATGGATGAAGCATGAATGGATCCTAACACATGTGTTTTGGGAAATAAGGCCCATGGAGGCCCTTTAGACACCCCTGGCACAGAGTTCTACTCCTTTTCCTGCCCTAGGGGT